AAGATGTAAGCGGTCAAATAATGTTGTTTCATCAGTTTAAATTGCTTAGATGACAAGGGTTCTGATTTTCTTGCAAGTCAAACTAAGCCAAGCTGTTGTTTCGAGGAAAAGGACGTTAAAGGACCCAAAACGACGCATAACCGATATAAAGTCTATAGGCCGAAAGAATATTGTGGTAGAAAACTTTTAAAAAGTCAAACGAGATGATACTGTATAATCTTGAACGTTAACAGAGTCAAAATGAGGGTATATCAGGGCTAGTGCCATGTACACGAGTTAAAAATAAATATAAACATACACAATTTTTACACGTTTATGGGGAAGACAGGAAAAAAGCTATAAGTAACATAACTAGGGGGCGTAAAGGCCGCAACAAGATACTTAATATACAGCAAGGACCTTTGGTCTGGGTGAGTATTTACATGATGTGGCGAATCAAGTTCGGTGCATAGTCACTGTACAGGGTATGATGGTGTGCTTTGAGTAAACGAACGTGATAAGCTGCCTCAGATGGACAAATAACCCAAATTTACCTTAAATCGAATGTGGATAAAATTTCGCTCAAGGACAACATGCAGTGTGGAATCATGCGAAGAATCCAGCACAATCTGGCCCTTTCGTGGAGTGTCACGCTGTACCAGCCGAGGCCGTTACAACACCACCAGGTGATGTTGGCCAATTTATTTCCATGTTTTCATTCTCATTCATCATGTAGAAGTCGTCACCCTGTCTAAACGCGGAGGCGCCAGAGGATGGCGCTGGCCCGATTCCTGAAGATGAATTCCCATCCACGTCGAGCAGATCCGTAGCATCTGCAGAGAGGAGTTCAGCACCAGCGTCGCCCTGGGAAATATCTGAGTTAACGCCGGCGCCCCTGTAGTCCGCAGCAACATGCGAGCCGCTGCTGTGTCCATTGTACATACGAATAGGGCGGACGGTAGGGGTTATCGCATCTAGGGAGAGTTCGGGTGGCAAGACATCAGAGTTGCCCAATTGCTGCTGTCGACCCGACATCGGCACGATCCGGTTGCCGCTCCGAGTGGAAGAGTCAACCATGGAACCCGGGAGGTGCTCGGTGTTGGATAAATGAGACCGACCTCGGTCTGTTCTCAGTTCATTAAGACCACCGAGCCCGGAAATTTGGCGCGGATGCCCAACTGGAATACCGCTTTTTGAGACATGACCGCCTTGTGAATAGGAATTGAAGTTCAGGGAAAAATCGTCATTAACTGGATTTGCGCTGCAGCTCGATATCCGCCTGTAGCTCGAAAGTCCGGAAATTTCATTTCCCGTTATTTGATCATACACAGGCATGTAATCCATATTTGCAGATTGATTACTGCTTACAAATTGGTTTTGATAAGGCGGATATATATCAATCACATCTTGCATCCCTGAACCACTTTGATGAAGAGGCATGCTCATGTCCACACCATAGCTCTGAGAGCTGTGCATTCGGTGGTGCTTGCAGTAAAGGTGGTCCGGGTAAGGTAAGGCGTATCTAGAAATAGGACAATTAGTAAAATTTAACATACGGAGTCAGGACTTGTTCCTTCGCGCCATTGAACCTTGAAGCGGGATGAGGCCTTTGCATTACATTACTAAAGG